GGGGGGGTATCCAACCCCAGATCCTCCGAAATCCTCCAAATCCCCCAAATCCCCGACCCCAAAAGGGTCTCCAACCCCAAATCCCCAATCCCAAAACCTTCTCTAACCCCAAATCCCCCAAATCCCCGTTCCAAAATTATTCCTAACCCCAAATCCTCATCCCCAAATCCTGAACCCCAGAACCTTCTCCGACCCCAAATCCTGAACCCCAAATCCCCCAAATCCCCCAAATCCTCCAAATCTCCAACCCCAAAACCTTCTCCAACCTCAAATCCCCATCCCAAAAACCATCCTTAACCCCACATTCCCGAAATCCCCCAAATCCCCAAATTCCCCAAATCCTCCACCCCAAAACCATCTCCAACCCCAATTCCTCCACCCCAAACCCTCCAAATCCCCAAAACCAAAAGTGTCACTAACCCCAAATTCCGACCCCAAAACCAACTCTGACCCCAAATCCCCAACCCCAAAATCATCTCCAACCCCAAATCCTGAACCCCAAATCCCCCAAATCCCCCAAATCCTCCACCCCAAAACCATCTCCAACCCCAAATCCTCCCCCTCCAAATCCCCAAACTCCCGACCTCAAAAGGGTCACTAACCCCAAATTCCGACCCCAAAACCAACTCTGACCCAAATCTCTGACCCCAAAACCATCTCCAACCCCAAATCCCCTAAATCCACATCCCAAAAGCATCCCTAACCCCAAATCCCCAAATCCCACAAATCCCCAACCCCAAAATCATCTCCATCCCCAAATCACAAATCCCAAAACAAACACTGACCCCAAATCCCCAACCCCAAATCCCTGACCCCAAAACCATCCCCAACCCCAAATCTCCATCCCTAAATCCTCCAAATCCCCCAAATCCTCCACCCAGAACCATCTCCAACCCCAAAACCTGAACCCCAAAACCTTCTCCAACCCCAAATTCTCCACCTCAAAACCATCTCCAACCCCAAATCCCCAACCCCAAATCTTCCAAATTCCCCAAATCCCCGACTCCAAAAGTGTCTTCAGCTCCAAATCCCCCACCCCAAATCACCGATACCAAAAGGGTCTCTGACCCCAAATCCTCCTTCCCTAATCCCCCAAATCCCCAAAATCCCAAACCCCAAAATCACCGCTAGTCCCAAATCCCCAATCCAAAAACCACCTCGAAACCCAAATCCCCAACCCCAAAAACTTCCCTAACCCCAAATCCTCATCCCCAAGTCCCCCAAATCCCCCATCCCAAAACCTTGTCCAACTCCAAATCCCCCACCTGAAAAACATCCCTAACCCCAAATCCTCCATCCCAAAACCTCCAAATCCCCAAAACCCTGACCCCAAAAGGGTCTCTAACCCCAAATCCCCCACCCCAAAACCAGCACTGACCCCAAATCTCCAACCCCAAAATCATCTCTAACCCCAAATCCCCAATCTCAAAACCAACACTGACCCCAGATCCTCTCCAAATCCCTGACCCCAAAACCACCTCCAACCCCAAATCCCCCAAATCCCCAAAATCACCACTAACCCCAAATCCCCCTCCCCAAAACCATCTCCAACCCCAAATCCTGAACCCCAAATCCCCCATCACAGAGCCACCTCCAACCCCAAATCCCCCACCCCAAAACCATCTCCAACCCCAAATCCCAACCCCAAACCCATCTCCAACCCCAAATCCACCATCTCAAAACCATCTCCAACCCCAAATCCCCCAAATCCCCAAAATCACCACTAACCCCAAATCCCCCTCCCCAAAACCATCTCCAACCCCAAATCCTCCATCTCAAAATCTTCTCTAACCCCAAATCCCGAACCCCAAATCCCCAAATCCCCCAAATCCCCAACCCCAAAACCATCTCCATCCCCAAATCCCCAACCCCAAATCCCCAAAATCCCAATCCCAAACCCATCTCCAACCCCAAATCCTCCATCCCAAAACCATCTCCATCCCCAAATCCCCGACCCCAAAACCATCTCCATCCCCAAATCCTCCATCCCAAAACCATCTCCATCCCCAAATCCCCAATCCCAAAACCATCTCCAACCCCAAATCCTCCATCTCAAAATCTTGTCCAACCCCAAATCCCCAACCCCAAAACCATCTCCATCCCCAAATCCCCAACCCCAAAACCATCTCCATCCCCAAATTCCCAACCCCAAAACCATCTCCAGCCCCAAATCCCAACCCCAAAACCATCTCCATCCCCAAATCCCCGACCCCAAAACCATCTCCATCCCCAAATCCCCCTCCCCAAAACCATCTCCAACCCCAAATCCCCGACCCCAAAACCATCTCCAACCCCAAATCCCAACCCCAAAACCTTCTCCAACCCCAAATCCC